TTGCAATACCTTGGGTTGTCTACTTCTGCAAATGGTATGCCATCATGGGGGTAAATCTCATTCCTGGCTACCACACGGTCTCAAAGGCAATATAACCAACCTGGCGAATTTCAATTTGAAAAAACTGAAAAATGGAATATGATATATTTGACCCTTTAACTTTCCAAAACACTGTAAAAACTGTTGTACTTGTGAGACTTTGCTAAATCCAAATATGTGGGTTTTTTGCAGTTAAATCTAACGATATTGACATTTGTAGCTAAAATGTCCACAAATTTTTTTAAAAATCTTAATTTCTCACAGTTTTTTAAATTTTATTCATAATAAATTATGTTTAAAATATGAAAAGTTCATGAGAAATTAAAGCCCAGTTTCTCCTGAACAAAATGATATATAATAAGTGTGGGTGCACTTAATATGAAAGAGGTGAATTACGGTTGAACAGACATATAGCGCAAATACCAGTTTTTGTTTACATTTTGTTTTGATCAGAACGTGTACGATTGACTCTGTCCTGAAGGGGTTAATAATGTCAAGATAAGAGAAAACGTGTTTTACTTTTATACATCGCAGCCCAAAAATGTTTGTATGTAACTGCAGGACTTTATTATTACTTTTGTTATTATCGGCATATATAAATCACCAACTTATTCTGCAGCACTTAATATTATAAATGGGGAAATTTACAAATAAATTAGACAGTTACAAAAAAATACAGGAACATGAGGTTTATGAGGGGCCTGCTCAATCTAGAGGAGGTGGGGATTATAAAAGCAGCTACAGAAATGTGAACAGGAAAAAGTGACTAATTCTTGTGCTTATTTGAATATTTTGTATTGTGTCCTGGGAACCCTATAAAAACACAGTCTTTCTGAGCTGCCATATTAGACATAATATGCATTGTGCGTATATACATCAAAGCACTATAACTTTAATTGTTTAGTTTTCACACAGCATTTTTTTAAATGTATATCTTTATCTCATTCATTTTGCAATATATATATATTCACAATGCTCTTACAACAGATTAATTAAATGTAATTTAGTTAATTTAGCACTAGCACTATTTAGTTTATCTCCCATGTTGGAATTATGACCAGTATACAGCTGAGGTAAGGGTTACTGCTGTACCCAGAGAAAATCAAAATACAAACTTCCTATTGTGCTGCTCACACCTCCCTCTGCAGCTCCAAGCAGGGTAACGTAATCCACAAAAATAGAAAAAATGAGGGCAGCGCAAACAATTGCAAATGTGCACACCAAGTGCTACAAAAATATGTATTCTCAATGGCATAAGGTACAAATGTTTCGGGTTATCCCTTTTATCAATGCATGTTGTTCAAGGACATGCATTGATAAAGGGGATAACCCGAAACATTTGTATCTTATGTCCTTGAAAATAAATCTGTTTGTAGCACTTGGTGCGCACATTTCGAATTGTTTGCGCTGCCCTAATTTTTTCTATTTTTGTGGATTACTTTACCATGTTGGAATTAATGTAGGACCCACCTATACTGGGTTACTGTGGCATGGTGCCCATAACATGATATGGCCGTATGCAACTGAATACCAATATCTGTTTATTGAGATGGGGTTTTTAACCCCTTAAGGACCAAACTTCTGGAATAAAAGGGAATCATGACATGTCACACATGTCATGTGTCCTTAAGGGGTTAAGTAGCATTGTAAAATGTAAAACTGTATTTTTGTGTGTGCGCCGTTCCTCCTGTTCCTCGTAATTTGTATACATTTTGATCTCTACAGCAGCGTAATTGCTAAGAAATGCATGTTCCTGGCGTGCTCCCAATACCCCTTTTTTATTAACTAGATCTAACAAATACTACCTCTAGAATGTAAGCTCATGGAGCAGGGCCCTCCACCCCTCTGTTCCTGTACGTCCAGTTGTCTGGTTACAATTTCATGTCTGTTAGTCCACCCATTGTACAGCGCTACGGAATCTGATGGTGCTATATAAATAATAAAATAATAATACAGTATTTTGAGAATACACACAAACAATATACATATGTCTATACCATCTATATTCCAACATATGCTTATTACATTTAAAAAATATGCTATGTAGATTAATCTATTGGCTCTGTAATGAGGCTGTTTTTTATTTAGTTTAGAAATCCCATAATTCCCATGAAAGTGCATGCTAAGGATGTGAAGAATCACTAGTTAGATGAAGCTACTTCCAAGATTGCTTCCAGGAGGAATATCTGTTTTCAGTGAGCAGAATGATAAAGAGTTAGCAACCTTCACCCAGGAATGGAATTGCAAAGCCAATTGAAACATCTAAAGACAAATGTGTGCTCCTTAAGGACTCATCAGCAGAGGCCCGTCAACTGATAAATAACTGAGGCCTCAAAGTGCACAGAGTTAAATTAGTCCCAAGTGACCTGCATGTCTGGAGTGTTTCAGTGTATGTTTAGAGAATACACAGATACAAAGTTCTAATTCAAACTATGATAGAACTAATGTAGACAAAACAGACACGTTGAAAGTAATTACTGTGCGCTCTGTGCTATACTAATCATTGTACTTCAGACCAGCAGTTTACATTTCTCAGACTGCTGGTATTCTGCATTGCTGGCCAAATAATAAAAATTGCAATGAATATTAGAAATTTATAATAATGCTGTGATGAGAGAAAGTGCTGGGATCTAAGGCGCCAAAGCAAAAATGTTTGTGCCAAGTACCCAAACTGCAACTGTAATTCATTTCTCTGCTAACACTGCAATTAAGAAATATTAAAGGGACACTATAGTCACCTGAACAACTTCGGCTTAATGAGGTTGTTCAGGTGAGAACTATAGCTCCCTGCAGCCTTTCTCATGTAAACACTGTATTTTCTGAAAGCTAGGAACAGCTCCAGTTGCAGTCACTCAGAATGAATCAGAGGGACTTCGGAGTTGATGTGCTGTCAGCAGAGCACAGGACAGCACTGTGCACAGCATACTGTGATTCAGTATCTCCTCCCTCTGCATGCAGACATGGAACTTTCCTCATAGAGATTCATTGATTCAATGTATCTCTATGAGGAGATGCTGATTGGCCAGGGCTGTGTTTGAATCATGCTGGCTCTGTCCCTGATCTGCATTTTTGTCAGTCTCAGCCAATCCTATGGGGAAGCACTGTGATTGGATCAGGCTACCACATGTCAGCAGACAGCTTGTTTTTCTGAGTCTAAAAGCATGCAGATTTACAGCTTCAGGATTGAATACAGTAAGATTTTTACAATATTTATGGAGGCACGAGGGGCCCTGGGGGGCTAAATGGTGGTTTAAACACTATAGGGTCAGGAATACATGTTTGTGTTCCTGACCCTATAGTGATCCTTTAAGCATTATTAAGAAAAAAAGAGAAAACACACATACCTGTTGGAACAAATTAACTTTTATTTTCTTGTTTTTTTTTCACTTATGGACCAATCTCTGAATGTGCCTTTAACATGTAATTTTAGCTGCAATTATAGTATTCTCATAAGTAATGCATTAAAAAGAAATCAAAGACTCAAGTTTAAAAAGGTGCATAGAGCACTGATGTAAAAAAAATGGTGACTAGCATTTTGTCAAGCTAGGTCTTAGACAAATTCATTAAAATATATATTAATGAAATCATGATTTGCTCCCCACTAAACCTTTTATTCTTATTATTCAAGAAACCTGAAGGTGTATTTTACTGTATGCACATTTTGAAATATAAAGACTTGAAAAATGATTATGAAAAAAAAACAAAGAATTAAAATGAACATGGCCCTAATATGAGAAATGTGCTGCTCCCCCAGTACTTAGAAGATGAAGCAGGACACAGCTGATCTCCTCCTTAGAGGACATATTGTGAAGGGTTCGCTCCCTTGTGCAAGTGAGCTCATGTGAGAGGTCACTGGTCACTGGAGGCTGTCAATTATAAAGCCGGGTGACAAGTGCAGACACTATAGCAGTGGCAATACCTGCAATGTGGCATGCCATAGGTTCGTCATCACTGCACTGATGGGCTGGTTTTTAAATGACGGGATCATATGGGGAAGCATTGTGATTGGCTCAGGTCACCACTTCTGATGATGTCAGCAGGCAGTGGGCAGGACTAAAGGAAACAGGGACAAACTATGCAGCTGCAAGCTTGAATTCAAGTAAGATTTTACTTTTTTTTAGAGGCCAGGGTGGCTAGATGGTGGTTTTAACCCTATAGGGTCAGGAATACATGTTTGTGTTCCTGACTCTATAGTGCTCCTTTAAAAAAAAGGTATCCACAGTACAAACATTTTTGTATATCTACATGATAATATGGTGAGTAGAGTTAGAAACAAATTGCTCAAGGACCCATTGTTTGGAAACAGGAACAATGAAGACTTTCCTAATTTAAAACAGCGTAATTGTTAGAATGTTTATTTAGAGCTGTATCTGTGATAATAGAATATGTACATCCCAACGCGCTAGGTTATTTACTATCATGCAGATGCTGCCTAAATCAGCAAAATGTGGTTAAAATAATCAAATATTAACTGAATTTGCAATTTCATATATACTAAAGACATGTTTAGCTAAAATGTGGTTATTTGAACCGAAAGAGCACATCTCATTCAGCACCATCTGGTGTCTGCTTAAAAATCAGTCATTTTAACATACAAATACTATTTACAAATATAGGATTTTCATAAATAGCAGACAATCACAAAATCACTAATGTCACAGAATCCACTAATAATATTCATATTAAATCCACTTTAAATTCAATGCTCCCACTGTCTTAAATCATCTTACCGAGTTGTATCTAGTAGTCTTTTTTCAAGAATAAGAGGTGATTTTGCCACTGGCAAACAAGTTTGAAAGGAATTTCAAGATGGTGGCAGAGCAAATGGTACTAAAGTTTCAGGTAAGTTTTTCTACAACATTGAATAATATAATTCTTTGAAGAACATATTATAATTCTTTGAAGAACATATTATAATTCTTTGAAGAACATATTAAATAGTGAAATTCTAACTTTAAAATCATGTTCCTATTTGTTTGCTCACTTTATCAATTGTTCCTATTTTGATTAAACATATGGATGTTATGCAAACTTCTAATATTAATGACTCATATTTGCCTTTGCAAAGCTAATCTAAAAATAATAAAACATATTCTGAAATCTCAATTTGTTTATCCAAAGTTACCTTGGAAAACTTATCTGAAGTAAGAGACATTGTATTTCTCTATATTCTTAAACACTAAAATACATAAGACTCGATATTTACTGTGATGTTTTTATAGTCTTTACATCTTGAAAAAGGGGACTGTACATAAATGACAACAATATAAATAATTGCAAATTTTAGATCAAACAGGTACAGGTAAGCTTGAAGAAATCTAAACATGCATGATATTTTGCCCGATTGGTTTCTTGTCCCTTTATCCATGCTCCCTCTTTCTACAAAGCAACTCCCTTATTATATTTATTTTTATTTTGAGTACATACTCAGCACACTGATATTTCATTGACTGGGCTGAGTATGCACTCAGAATATGTATAACAAATAAATTGCTTCTTGAAAAGGAGGAGCATAGTTAAAGGGGCAGGCTTATACTGCAAAAAGCTACAAAACGCTTAACTTTTTCTATGCAAAACTAAAGAGGAACAGGAAAAAACAGCATTAGCATAAGACCAAATACTTTAGTTAAGTTTATATGAATATATATATATATATATATATATTTATAAGAGTAAAAACCATCAAATATTTACAACCTTAACCCCTTCACACTGGCACTCATGTATACATGATTAACAGGATATGCAGCCATATACTGCAATCGTGTATGCACGTTTTGCATAAACGCAACTTAAATTAATTTATTGCAAGTAAATGTTGTTTCAAAATTATGCCATGTATAGCATGGCATAATGACAGCTCACAGCATTTGATTGCTGAGTACAGAAACTAGCACTCTGTATATAGCGCTGCTCTAGCCTAACCTTGCCTGTGTCCCCATTTATTGATGTCAATGGCCACCCATGCCTCAAGAAGTCCACGTGGAAGTCTATTCATCTGCTTTGGCCTCTTCTCTCCCCCTACTTAAAAGCAGAGGTCGGGCTACAAAATGAGTGGTGTAAGTCCTGCCACAGCTGTTACTGATGGGCAACTGGATCTACTTGGCACCATATATTCTGTTATGAACGATATTGTGAGAACTCTTTCACTACCTACAATCTGTGTATGTTTGTGAGACTCTAAATGAGTGTGTGCTTCTGTCTGGTATTGAGTGTGTCTCATTGTATGTGTATAGGTGTGTTAGTGTGTGTATGTCGGTGTGAGGACTAAAGTGGGACCTTTGAATTGTATTTTTTAGATTGCTACTAGCTGAGAACCAAGTAAAAATAAATCACATTAAAAAATGTATTTGTACTTGCAGGTATTAAGGAGGAACAGGGTAATCCACATATATTTCTTGCTCAATTACTTGAAAATTCAATATGCCCAAAACTCAGTAACATGATGTGGAAACCTCCACATGAAAGCAATGATTCAAGTAGGACCAGGGACACTATAGCAATGCAGATTTGTATTCCTAATTGTATAGTGTTCCTTTAAAGAAAATATTTCAGAGGTGATATGAGATGTTTGCAGAGCATGAGTTTCTCAAGGTCAAATGAATTTGGAAAGTTTAATCTTTTGTAATTGGAAAATAAAACTTTGCTTCCCGCATACTGCAAAAATATAGATAATATAGTTTACTGTTTCTTTTACAAACACATGGGAAACAATATCGTGTATTGTTGCATTGTGGACATCAGCCAACTGTACTTTGCTACACATTATTTTCTTACAAAATATACAAAAACGAAAAATCTCCCATGGTGATGGATTATGATAGAGACAGAGTGAAAAAGAAAAAGATAGAGAATGCTGCATATTTTAAGAACAAATATACAATTAATGTCACCTGTAGAGATACATATTTTTAAAGTAAACATGTTTAATGACTGAACTCTATTGAAATGACAGGTTTATTTTAACTATCCCTCCCAAGCATAACAATGTTAGATATGACTGTGATAATAACACAGTGTATGGCAAATATGCTTAAAGTGCTACTATTTTGATTTATTTTTTTTAAATACCTTTTTTTTTTAGCTTTCCCATATAGAGATCTACATCCGTGGAATAGCCTGACAGACGATGTCAAATCTGCCACTAGTCTGAAGTTCCTGAAAATATCTGCATCCACTCCATTTAAAAGTCAACAACATGCATTGTTAAATTATAATTGTATTGTACATGTCTATAATATGGTACAATGTACCATGTTTATTATATGTGTAACTATGCCTGGTATGTGCGCTCCAAAATATAAATAAATGGGTGTTCAACAAAGTTATACCATTAACAATGTGATATTCCACAAAGCTTTGAGAAAAATTGTCTCCAAATATTTTCATGCAAATCAATATTCCAAAGTGTAGAAATGACAACAATATTCTCAATATTAACTAGGTAGCATTAATTGATTAATTAGTTAAAACATCAATTTATTCTAAAATCACCACAAAGATGTAAAAGTTTTTTCATAAAATGTGCTCTCCAGGAAATAACTCAAATCTTCATTTATCCCAGTAAAATATTTTACAAACAAATTCTATGTTATAGCTAGTGCTAGCCAATAATAAAATTTAAAAAAATTTGTCAATGCTATACTGGAAAACCCCTAAATTGCATACTGGGTAATCAGAGGTGGGCAGGGACAGGGGTCAGGGAGGCAATTGTCCCCCTAGGCTACCCTAAATCCAGGGCCATCCGCATCCAGCAAAAAAAGGAAAAATCAGAATCCCCTGCCTTTGGCCCTGCCGCTGGCTCTGGCACTGCTCTTCACCCAGGACCCCTTGGAGTCTGGGAGAAGAGCAAAGGAAGTCACGCCCCCTCCTCCTGACATTATCAGAAACACCAAATTCACTGGCTGCTGTATGCTGGCTGCTGCCTCCTGCCTCCTACCCCTGCTGGCTCTTTCCCACCCCTCCCTGGCCTAAGGTAAGACTCAGGAATGGGGGGAATAGTTTTTGTTTTTTTAATCCCCCTCCTCAGCCCTTATTCCCTTCCTCAGCCCCTTCCCCCCTTCCTCAGTCCCTGTCCCTTTGCTCAGCACCTGCCCTCCTTACTCAGCACCTGCCCCCCTTACTCAGCCCCTGTACCCACTTACCCAGCTCCTGCCCCTTTGCTCAGCCCTTGTCCCCCTTACTCAGCTCCTGTCCCTTTGCTAGGCCCCTGTACCCTCTCAGCTCCTGCCCCCTCAGCTCCTGCCCCCTCTCAGCCCCCATAACATCCCCACTACAGCTCCTCTCCCAATTGCAACCCATATCACCCACACCACAGCCCCTGTCCCCCCTTTCAATCATATGGGAAAGGTTTTTTACTCTCCTCTTGGTGCAATTGGCCACTTCACTGGATTTGCCCCCCAGGCCAGAGGCTGCCAGCCCTCCCCTGTGGGTAATCCACAAATAATCTATGAAATCTACTTGTTTTTTGTTTTGGTCTGAATGCTGAATTCTAATTGTTATATTGGATATTTTATATTTTATGATTGGGAAGTGTGTTGTTTACTTTTATGAATTCTGGTTTTATATGTCATATGAATGGTTGTTTTTTCTTACTTGCAGTGAGTTTATATACATACACAGTTTGTACTCTTTATTTTTTCCACTCTACTAATTTTTGTGGAATATATATTTTTACTTATACCTATTATTATTTTTTAATGAGAGTATTTATGATATATGATATATACCATGTGTATACCCAAAGTTGTGGCACACCAAATATACTTATATGTATCGAAGCAGGACAGGTTCAATATATCGGGAAAGATTACAGAAAAAACTTCAGAAAAAACTTACAATACTGGAGCGCTTAATATACACAGTTCTACAGGGGTAAAGTAGAGTTATTTAACAATTGTGTATTACACAGTATCTCTTTAATTGCCTGCTACCACACTTCAAAGTGATCCCTTCACCACATACAAGAAATAGAAATTATAGTGTTAAGAAGTGGAGCAATGTTAGAGCTAAAGGACAAAACCCCTTTCCCACATGCAATCAAGTAATTAAAAAAAAATAAAAAATTATACTTATATTGCTTGTTGCTTAATATCCCAATTCAAGCTCAGCATATATGGGAAAAAATATATGAAAAGGATCATAGAACAGATCTGCATGAATCAGTGAATATTATTGAATTCTATAAACACTGAATTAAATCAGCTTAATTAGCTGGATGAAAGTTTATTACAGTATTGCCACAAATTAAAAACAGAAGATAATAATCAATACATAACAGGCTATAAAAAATAATAAAAGAATGATAATAGTAAAAACATAAAATACACCTAAATTCACTGTTTAGTTGACATATGTTTAGCAGATTACTGCTTAATTGATGCAACAGTGAAGCCAAACACTATCAAAATGTATAGCCGGTTACTGCTTACTAGATTTGGTGGTGAGTATAACGGTGTAAATCCGTTTACCCACAAACAGGTTTTCCCGCACTGGGAGATGTCTCCTGTACCAGAAGATAGCTGATCGTCTGTGGGGTGCCTTTTTGTTTTGTCCGGATGGCGTCTGGTCTTGCTTCTGCTTTTTCGAAACGCCCGGCTTCTGAACAGGCTCCGCCCCCTTATTGACGTACTTTTAATTACTTGATTGCATGTGGGAAAGGGGTTTTGTCCTTTAGCTCTAACATTGCTCCACTTCTTAACACTATAATTTCTATATCTGGAAAGATACAGACAATAAAAACATAATGCTTTCTATATATAAACAATATTGGTAAAAGGAAAGTGAGAGGAATCCAACTCACAAAGCTAGAGCCGTACCAGGCTCTGTATAATCAGCATGTGGGGTGCCTATACAGGCTAGAACTATAGGATGCCAGGACAGGATACTGGATCAGTTAAAAATATCCATTTATTTTATATCCAATTGCTTTTGCAAAATCCAATTATTGCAGGCCATTGATCTTTAATGGGAAAACCCACATTAAATTAGAAAGAAAATAGAAAATTCTTAGAATTAGAGCAAACTGTACAGTATTTTAAAACTACATATGTATACTCCGCCTACTGTCCAGTCTGCCAAAATCACTATAAATACGTATATACATATATATATATATATATATAAATATATATATATATATATTTATTTATAAAATGTTTTACCAGGATGGATACATTGAGATGTCTCTTGTTTTCAAGTATGTCCTGGGTCCACAAAACAGTGCATTGTTGTAATAAGATACAATATTAAAAAAATAAAATATACAAACAATATATATATACATACACTAGAACGATAGGATGCTAGGACAGGATACTGGATCAGTTTAAAATATCCATTTATTACAATTAATTAAAAAAGGAATATGAGGACACGGATCAGAGAAAGTAAAAATGAGCAGTGTATATGTATAAAAGATCACCGCCAAAGTCCATATGAGTCAAATTCCAAAGTGCAGTAGACAGCAGACGCGTTTCGGCTTTCGCTTTCCTCAGTGCTTGTCCATGATTCTGCTCGATCTGTTTATAGATCCTGTCCCGGTTTGATTCAAATCTTCCAGCTGGCATCCATTTCCGCATTGACGATATGATGTCATTTCCGGTATGACGTCAATACGTCACTTGCGGTATTTCTCTGGTGTCTCACTTTCTCCATTGCACATATCTCCATTGTGGTTATGGGCAAAGATGCCCTCATACAAAGCACATTTCAGGTATATAGAACAAAGAAGGAAAATATCGGCATACTATAAAACAAGAATCACACAATAAAAAGAAACAATCTAAGGAATATCCTGTAATGTAGAACAGATCCTGCAATTAAAAAAAATCACGCAATATAAAAAAGACCAATAAAAGGATTGCGTCTTAATATAATATAGATATGAAAAATATAAAAATATATACTAAAAAGAACATAATATATGCATATATAATGTGTACAAATGCCTTGAGTTTGATTCCTCTCACTTTCCTTTTACCAATATTGTTTATATATAGAAAGCATTATGTTTTTTATTGTCTGTATCTTTCCAGATATATTGAACCTGCTCTGCTTCGATACATATAAGTATATTTGGTGTGCTATCACTTTGAGTGTATTCTATGCTGTATCTTATGAATTCTATGTAGGTGGTAGGTGAGTAGACCTTCTTTACACCCAAGTCTCATTGTTACTATATTTTAGTTTCAGAGGCGCCTACACAAATATTTTCTTTATTTTCTATATATACCATGTACTTATTTATCTATTTATTTATGGTCCTCCAGATTTTTTTCTCTTCCATATTATTCCTCCTTTTTGACATTATTCCCATTTTTGCATTATTTTTTTCCCTTCTTTTATTTATATGAAGGGAAAAAAAATATATATTTATTTTTTACTTTTATATTTATTTTAATTTATTTTATATATTTCGTTGTCCATATTAAAATACACATATTCTTTTTCAACATTACCTAAGACATATGACTTATACTATTTTGAATATATTCAGAGGAGTTGTCTTTAGATCTATTAGGGTCGTCATTTTACCATGTATATATATTTTTCAATATTCCAATTATAATTACTTAATCTCCAAACAGACTTCATGTATGTCTATTGAGTCTGTTTATCATCTTTGATTCTTAGCCAAGTCCTTTTTTACACTGATGTAATCAATTTTATTAATCTGTCTGTTTTATAAAGTTTACCAATTTACTTTGTTATATTTGTATATTAGCATGAAAACTGTTTCTGTATCACTTGTATACTTCTACAAGTTTTTTTATTTTATGTGCCTTTTAAATTTAATATATATCGCAAGGGAGAGCCCTTTTCATGGAAAGACTAAAGTAAACATTTTCTAGGCAATATGGCACTTTAAAAACAGACTTATGTGAGCATATATAAGAACGCTTTTAGTGGCCGCCGCACTTGAGAAAGCCTGGTGACACGGGCGAAATGCGTTGAAGCGCGAGTGGCATTTGATTCTGAGTGGTGAGCAAGCAGTGACTCCAAGCACCAGCTCCCAGCTCCGGCTTTCTTCCAGCACAAGCACTTTGTTCATCGACAAGGAGACTCAGCCAGGACCTGTATGATCAGGAGGACGGGGCAGTAAAGCTTTCACTCTTGTATACCCACGCTTGATTTGTTCCTTGTAAACAAGCACCACTATATGTAAATGTAAGGGTTCCTTTTGAGGGAGAGGGTTTTTTAAAAAAAATTTGTCAATAAATACAGTGTTACGCTATGTGGATCTTTTTTTGTATCTTTTTTTTTGTATCTTTTTAATGTACTGCAACCACTGTGGTATACAGTGTATTCTAAGACTGTGGATCCTATCTGTGTGGCAAGATTAACCCTCTGTGTTACTACAGAAGGACTCTTGTACATTTCAGTATTTAAACCATTTTTTGCAATAGTACATGCTGTAATATATATGCTGCTGATCGGTTTTAAGTTTTTTTTCACCAATTGTAATATTGCATATGCAGTCGTTTCTATTTAACAGATTACATGTGGATCACCCAGTATGCAATTTAGGGTTGTTCCAGTATAGTGCTGACACGTTTACTTTATACTGTTTGTTGTGAAATCTTTAAGGAAGTTTCTTGTATGTATAGCTGCTTTTTAAAATTTTGCATATCATCTTTTTTTTACTATTTTTGTTGCACTCTCTTTTTTTTCTTAAATAATAAAATTTACTTGCCACAGAAAACCTGACAGTTCCATGTCACATTAACTAGGGATACATTATGGCGGGCCAGGGATGAATTTTCAGTCGCCTGTAGCTAGTGGAGAGCGGAAAATGTAATTTCTGTTTATATCTTTTTTTAAATATATTTTACAGATTAATTTGGCGATGGCTAATTATATTCTCTCTATTTCAAGTTGGTATGTTTCTGAGTATTCTCCATAAGTCAGCAGTTGGTCTATCTAACTGTTTAGCATTTTCCATCAAGTAAGGCTGATAGAGGATATAACATCTCAAATATATTTTAAAGTAAAAGGGTTATGTTCACTGCAAACTCTGTTGAATACACATATATATTCAATATTAATATGTTCCAAAGCAAAAAAAAAATTCCAACTGAAGGTTAATTTTTGTAATTGATTAGATGATTCCAAATATCTTCAATTAATTTAGTTCTCTGTGAATAATTTGATGAGTAGGGGGAACCTGCAGGACATTTCTGCTCTATATGCATAGGAGTGTGCTGCAACTCAACTTGACAAATTATTTTTTCATGGTGGGGCAAACAGTGAGTTTATGTGGGATGGTTATAGGTGCTGTAGCTGTAGCTGTGTGTGTAATCTGGGTGATCAACATATCCAAAAATCACCCAGATGGATTCTGGGGTTCGGGATTTCCACGGAAGTCATAATTTTGACCGACCGTGCACATGGTCCTATGCCCAAAACAGTTCCAGGGAATCAGGGCTAACGGTCGGTCTCGCTTTCTGGAGTTAAAAAGTACAGAAATCACCTGAACTGAGCTTTTTAAAGTGCATTGGGCAAGGTATATTGCAGGGCCCATAGTCCTGAGGCAGGAGGCTAGCAAGCAGGCTCCCCCAGGAGCCTGTGGCGAGGTTCTGTTCACCACACTAATTCTACTGCAACTAGTAATAATGATGATATTAACAATAATCAAATATAATGTATATATTTTTGTTTAATACAATGTTAAACAAAAATCTGCACACCAGTCAAGCCATAAGACTTGCTTTTCCCACAGAAATCCCATAACTGCAGCGATGTTACAACCGCAAAGGATTCTGGGTGGGCATATGCAAATTAGTTTAACAAAGAATCACATTTTTGCCTCATTCCATTTTAAACATGGAATCCTTTTAATCTGTGTTTGCTGTATACAACAGCTTGAAACACAATATAGGATAAGATGCAAAACCAGTGAACCACTCATGGACAGCTGTTTCGTTGTTAATGCAACTCGTCAGCATGAGATTGGTTACTGGTTTGCTTATTGAGGCTTGGTAGTGCTTGGGAAGTAAAGTCCAAATAGATTATGGTGGGGAAAAATTGTGATTGAAAACCCCTTCCACCTGAAGTCTGTGGATAATTAATACAATGTTAAACAAAAATCTTTTTTTGTTTTTTTTGTTTAACCCCTTAAAACCGGAGGGCGTACTATTACGCCCTATTCTAAGCAGCTCTAAACGCCGCAGGGCGTAATAGTACGCCCTCCGTTTTTTTGTTACTTACCCAGTCGCCGGCGATTACGGTTGGGGAGACTCACCTGGGATCCCAGGGAGTCCCCCGCGGCAGATCCTGCCTCCTCCGGTCCCGAGGACCTCACAATCACATGGGTTAGCTGGCTACTGCATTACCAGCACGGGGACTGCCTGTAATGACAGTTAGTCCCCCTGCTGGCTGGAAATAAAATAAAATAAAATTATCAGTGTAAAAAAATATAATATACTTAGATCATACATACAAATACAAATACAAACACAAACACTGTCTACGTGTAATTATATATATATATTAATATCAAATTACAAGTAGACTGATACTGATTAAATATATATATAATTATTGTTATATATTGGAAGGCATGGCCTGAAGTTGTGGGAGGGGCTATAGACCTATAAAAGGGACTACCCCCTTTCCCTACTTACCTTTGTTGGTCAGACGAATAGACTGTTCAAGGTCAGCATTTGCATGAGATCCACTTCCAGGTCATACAAGACGCCATTTTGGTTTCACCTCTGCTCCATGAGGTCTCCTACTCCAAGCTGTGTCCAGGAATCCTGCAGCAGGGCTTTCCGTTAATCCAGTGGCTTTCTCTCCGGTCAGCATCGCATTTGGTGTCTCAGGGACTCTCAAACCGTAAATTGACCCACCTGTCGCGCCAGGATTAGTTCCCACGGCGTTCAGCACAGCACGGGTCCTCACTTTACGGTTTCCTTTTGTTTTGCACGGTTATTTGGTTACCTTATACTCACCTAGCTGTTCATGTAAAATCTGTTGTTTAAAATCTGTTTTGGTTAAAATCTGTTTTGGTTAAAATCTGTTTGGTTAAAACTACAAACGAAATACAATTTTTTCGCCTACACACCGACCCCTACCGGTCTTTTGGTGTACTACAGGCTTCTTAGACATTATCGCATTTTCATGTACAAACCAACGAACCACTGCATTTTCGCCTACACACTGACTCCTACCAATCTTTTGGTGTACTACAGGCTTCTTAGACATTATCGCATTTCATGTACAAATCAACGTACCACTGCATTTGCGCCTACACACTGACCCCTACTGGTCATTCGGTGTACTACAGGCTTCTCAGATATTATTGCATTTCATGTACAAACCAACGAACCACTGCATTTTCACATAGACACTGACCCCTACCGGTCATTCGGTGTACTACAGGCATCTCAGACATTATTGCATTTCATGTACAAACCAACGAACCACTGCATTTGCGCCTACACACTGACCCCTACCGGTCATTCGGTGTACTACAGGCTTCTCAGACATTATTGCATTTAATGTACAAACCAATGAACCACTGCATTTTCACCTAGACACTGACCCCTACCGGTCATTCGGTGTACTACAGGCATCTCAGACATTATTGCATTTCATGTACAAACCAACAAACCACTGCATTTGCGCCTACACACTGACCCGTACCGGTCATTCGGTGTGCTACAGGCTTCTCAGACATTATTGCATTTCATGTACAAACCAATGAACCACTGCATTTTCGCCTTCACACTGACCCCTACCGGTCTTTTGGTGTACTACAGGCTTCTTAGACATTTTCGCATTTCATGTACAAACCAACGAACCACTGCATTTTTCACCTACACACTGACCCCTATCGGTCATTCGGTGTACTACAAGCTTCTTAGACGTTTTTTGCATTTCATGTACAAACCAATAAACCACTGCATTTTCACCTACACACTGACCCCTACCGGTCATTCAGTGTACTACAGGCTTCTCAGACATTATTGCATTTCATGTACAAACCAACGAACCACGGCATTTTCGCCTACATGCTGACCCCTACCGGTCAATCGGTATACTACAGGCTTCTCAGACTTTATTTCACTTCATAAGCAAACAAACTAACTACAGCATTTTCGCTTTTATACTGACTCCTATCTGTCAAACGGTATACTACAGGCTTTTCAGACATATGGCCTCATAACATTCCCATTATAATTACACAATAACACTTCCTTACAACTCATGCTTGCTATGATATAATCATTCCTGCATACCTGCCTACATAGGCATTTAGTTACATTTGCTGACAATACGCATACATTTACCCAAGAATGCACATACTATTTAAAGTACTATGCAGGATTCCAGAGTCTAATATGGAATATTTGCATGTTTGCACGCTTAGAGAAAAATAAGTCCTTCCTATTATGTATTTTCCACATATTAGGTTACTCAGCTGCCAGTCATGGTTCACTACACTCATGTTTTGGGGTACAGTAGTATTCCATATCACACATGATATAACACTCCCGACAAGTTAATTTCCTTCAAACAGGGGCATTACAAGCATACAATAAACATTGGGACGGAGCACTTTGCTCTATTAAACTTGCATAAAACACATATGGGTATACACTTTTAAATGTCTATATTCAATTTTCATACATTGTTCTACCCGTACGAGACACAGGTATTAATAACCCTTACGACCATTAAGGGTATCTAATCATACTACCAGGTACATAAACCTGCTCATGTGGTATATACATACATTTTCTGTTTCCACCTGGGTATATCCTTAGCGTACTGGCAATTAGGGACTATGGGTTTCCAATAGGTATTCTCCTTTCTTGGCATCTACGCCTGTCGTATAGTGGTCCCGTGAGGCCAACACCCCGCCTCAACGCTCGGAGGCAAACACCCATCGGGCCACTCGTGAGCTAGCCGCCTCGCATGGTATATAGAGAGGGCCTCACCTGTCACTCCCTTCCCCTTTTTTCTAGTTACAGTCACCGAGAGGCCAACATCCTGCCACTACGTTTGGTGGCCACAAAAATCCCCTCGCGCCATTGCATAGTTAGAGCCTCTCAAGCCACTTGTTAACTAGCAGAGCCTCACCTGTCACCAAACAAAGGATTAATTGTTTTGCTATGCGGCTTTAGCAAGCCAGTACTAGCACACTGTGGGTTCATATAATAATGGCTTTCTTCATGTTTTTAGTAGGTTGTAAGGAATTCACTCTACCTAACACTCCAGCTACAGTCAACACACTTTCACTTGGAGAAGATGTTGCTAGTCCCACACGACAATTTTGTCCCAACACAGCGGACGATCACGTTTCAGGCTCCAGGCTCTAGCACTTCTGGTAG